TAATATATAATAATAATAAAAAAGTGTTACATTTTTTGTTTAACTCTACAAAAGAGAGTATTTAAAACCATGGGAATATTTAAATTGATTACATTTGCTCTAATATTAGCTCAAAGTTCAGACTTTTTCACACTCTTCTGGCTTTAAATTCGCCCACTTTTAAGTACAGTTCAGTTGTTGATAACAGAATTGCATCAAATTAAAATTCACGCCTGGGGCATTCTCTCACATTTTACACAGCTTCCCCCAGGCACAGTTGACGCACTCAGGCTCACTCTCATTCAATTTATAAAACCACCCAAATTTAAGGGAAACACAAATATTTATTGCTGGCAAACCACTTTCCGGTGCGCCGAATCGTTTTACCATAAACAAGTCAGTGGAGTATTGAAAACAAAAATATTACGGCATATAAAGTGTCGCAAAGTGGCCATCAAAAAATTGACAGAACATAAACCACACAGATGGGCGGGTTTCCCCCCCCCCCCCCTGCTCGCTCTCCTCTCGGCGTCAAACATGGGCTAAGTGCTATTAAAATATTGTCGGGCCAAACATATTTTGTGCATTTTTAGCTATTACATTTACAACGCATTCCAAAATGCAGCGCGTGTGCAGCGTGGCGTATGCGCAATTTTATGCGCACCCACGCGAGCCGCAGATTGGCGCCGTGAAAGCATATTTATTTTGTATTTACCATGTATTAACTGTCATTTGGAATTTATGTTATTTAAGCTGCAATTTATTTATTATTACAACACAAAAGGCACAAAAATTGCGAAATATCTGGCTGAAAATATACCTGAAAATGGCCGATGAAATTGGTTGACGTTAAAATAGCCAATAAAATGAGGTTGGTTGACTTTTTGGTAAAGGGAAAATAGGATGACGCTAACGTATAAAGGCATTAGTTAATTATTGGAACAATATGTTTTTTTTTTTAATAATTTCTTTATTTTTTCTATAAACATATACTTTATATGGATAAAACTAATATCATACTACCAACTGCGATATATGTATATAATATAAAAACAAACAAATATTGTTGCATATATTAACTCTCTTCAGAGTATTTCACAGTCATTCTTGACGTTCTATTCATTTCCATTTATTTTCAAATACAATTCACGCGACTTTCCCAAGAGAGAGATTTAATAATCGATGAGTTGCAGTGCAATATCAATTAACAATTTCATGGCGTTCCACTCAGCATGACCCCCTAGATAATATTGAGTGCAATATACGCTAAGGAAGCAGTCAGCTTCAACTTGAACAACTTGAGCTGAGTGGCTTTAAACCTGCAGTGCATGCAAATTGATAAATAATTGCGATTAACTTTGACCTATAGAAGGTCCGAGTGCCAACTGGGTCACGATACCTGAGCGTGTTCTGTCGTGACTGTCCCACAATCGTCGCAATCGAAGACGATTCATAAAAAATGCATAGCCAACTTGAGTGTGGACGACTAGCAATAACGAGCAGCTCATATGAGAAGGCCATAAAACAATTCTATGTAATTACAGTTAAACGAACGCTAAATGATTGATAGAAAATCGTAATGTTTTCATTATCAAATGCGAGCAACTTTTCAGTCATAGAACACAGGTCAACGATATTGAATAACCATAATTGGGAGCTTACCTTGGAAACGGCCAATCTCAACCTGATGCCAATGTGTCGATTTACAAAAAAATTAAAATTATCGAGAATTTTTAACAAATTATTGAGACTTGACTGTATATTCCTTTGATTTTACTAGACCATGCCCTTTTCCCCATGTCTACTCATAGAAATTTCAGCTTTAAAGGTAAAGGGAACTTTGAAACTGTTTTTAGTAAGAAATTTAAACCTAAACTTATGATTTTATCTCAACTCATTTTAAACGAATACTAACACAGGTCTGCTCCATAGTGAAGTAAAGTTTGTTTCTTGATTCCCACTAAATTTGTTTGTCCTGTGCAATTGAAAATCTTCTGCCCGATATTTGTGTGCATGTACACATTTGTATCTGTGTGTGTGTTATGCGTATTGTCCAATAGTCAATTTCGTCTTTTGCGGTTGCCTAATGTATTTACACGGTCTTCTGCGCGGCTGTCCAATGCGGAGTGAAATCATTTCCGCAACAACACCGAAAGGCAAATCGAAGTGGCCTTAAGGAAATGCAGCCAGCGAGCATAGCATATGCCAAAATATATGCAGCTGAGCGCACGGCGTGTCCATCATGATGGGCTAGCCGCAGCTCGAACACAATTAGCGACAAGGCGCACACAACTGTGGCTAATGTGCGCTTGGCCATTGCAATCAGTTGCATATTTGATTTGGTTAACCAACAGCTCGCTGTTTGACTGCGCGCTCAGCAGCGAGTGTGTGCCGTTAACGAATTGCAATTGGCCAACAATTATGTGGTCATAATCGAAATTATATTTAGGCATATATTAAACATTGATTCGTGGCCTAAAATGTAATGCAGCACTTAAATAATAAGAGAACATTCATAATTATATTAGGTAGTTCCTTATTATCGTTGCTCTGTTGTCTTAGCCTAATATAAGCAAATTTATATATGAAAACCTTATTCATTTTATATAAACATAAACATAAAATGGCCATTCAATGGGTTGTTATATTAATTTAATTTTTTTTCTAATTTAAATAAATAGAATAAGTGTTTAACAGTATATTCTTTACGCTCTGTTCGCGAGTTTAGCTGAAAAATCATATTCAATCGCGCTCGCTCTGAGCAAGAGCCTTCGGTTCTTTTCGTTTTCGTTTTTCTGTTGAGCGCCTTCAATTGACTTAATCGTTCTACGCTCTTTTCACGAACATCATTTCGAGAGCGATACGATTGTCGCTCACGCACACATACACATGCTCAATGCGAGCTATATATGTTTATATATACAATATAA